GGATAGTACGGAACTTACAAACCACATATAAATGGTGGATATCAACACTCCGGGGCATATGTTGGCGGAAAAAACATTTGAGGTTGTGGTTCAACCTCCCAAGCGTTTTGAGCTCTTACACAGCCCGTGTTTTGGCCGGGTGGATTTTAGTAACAAACCATGTTGTGACGAATGGTACACTGTTCTCACTGTGGACTGGACGGTTTCGGCCGCTGCTTGCATATTGTACATTTGGGTATACAATTTAATACTATTGATTTCAGATTGTTTACTTGTACTTTATTGTTTGATAATGGGTTTTCCCCTTGTCTGTGCGCGCGTTGATTGTGTGCACCTGGTGCTCTGTTGTTTCTCCTCCCCCCTCCCTGTGTCCTGTTAGGTGATTTGGGCTGGTGCATTTAGCTCTGGGTTTTGTTCTGTTGTTGAGAGAGCAGGTTGTGAGATCATTGTGGCTGTGTTGACTGTGCTCACAGCAACAGCAGGATTGAGGCTGTGTGTCATGTGTTCATGATGTAATGAATGCCCACACTGGGTTGTATTTTGGACGTTCTGCCTCTGCCTCCTTGCTTGGTCTGGGCCGCTCAATTGTCAGCTTCACACTCATTCAAAGCATTTACGTTTAATAATTAATATGGCATACGTCACCTGTGTTACGCAGCGAAGAGTTTTATATGATTAATATAGTTTCTGACGCATTATTCCATTTCCACACCATAAATATGAATAAACCTACGATTAAGTTTGTTGGTTCAAATCTTGTAGTTGATTAGTCAGAATGGCTTCGGTTGCTAGGCTAACATCATCCATTTTATACAATCCACTATTTTTTTAAATGTTATCTTTTTTATTATTCAAATATTTTGATTGATTTTCCACATATAACAAACAGCAGCACTCAACATTCAAAAATACAGCACACACAGAAAGTATACAAAAATTCAATGACGATCCAGGAAGGAGATACAAAATATGTATATTTGTAGAAGATGTAAGAAATAAATTTATCTAAATTTAAAACCCACCCCTATCATGGGTTAATAACTAAAGTAAAATGAAACATAAATGAAGGTATTTAAAAAACAGCTGTGGGGGGGAGGCGGCGGGAGTTGGTAACTACATTATTTTTATATGTTGTAGAACATTCACGTTCTCAAAGGTAGCGACAGAACCATGGCTTGCAGCCTCT